GAGAAGACAAATTATCCAGTAACGGCAAAGGTGAATAAAGTTGCCTGGAAGCATGGAAAAATCAATATCATTCGGGAACATTACTTGCAAAATATTTTGGGAAAATCAATATAATTCAGGAAAAAGCAAAAGATGAAAGACAGTGACATCATTTGCCTATCTAAGTTGGCCAAGGCATGTCATGGAGGACCAAGATGTTTCTCAACACTGTAAACAACAAACTCCAAACAAAATCACAGAAACAAGAAGATTTACCCAGTTATAAGTTAGAAAGGAGGCACATCAAGGGACAATAAAGATGAGGATAATTCATTACGGATTTATAATTTCATGACAGATAGAGATACCATAAAAATGGTATTGAAGAAAAGGGAGCAGCAACTAACCTGAAAGATTTTGCAACATCAACAATTTCACCAATATACACATCATTTGGGAAAATCTGGAGATTTCATGAAGAATATTGGAATAAGAAACACTAACATGAATGGCATCCACAACCAGGAAGATATTTAAAGACAACTATCAACTCTTCATTTACAATCACATGTCAGCAAAGAATTGTGCAGAAATAAATATTAGGGGAAGTAATCATACGCAACCTTACTGTGAATAAATTGCTGACTGCCTACAACTGAATCCAAAGCACAATCCCATATTGATATAGAGAAACCTCCGACAATAAAATTCTAATAATCTAGCCTAAACTTATAGTACATTTCTCAGCAAACATCATAAGACAGCATTCTCCAAAAACAAAATAATAAGAAACTTTTTCTCACTATAATCTGTAGGTGGTATTGTGCTTAAAAACTATAAACTAGTTGTCTACATGTGATGTGAATTGGCATAAACAATAATTCCAAAAGAAGGAAGTGACATCTATTAAACTCATACACTTAGAGGAGAGGCTGTAACCCTACAGATATCATTCTTCTGTGTTGAGCTCTATAAGTTATTTGTATTCAAGTACAATTATATAAGCTCAACAAGCATGTAAAGAATAGATATCTTCAGAAGCTTACCAAAAAAAGGAAAGCAAAAAGAATGATATCTTCTGAAGACTTTGCCAAAAGAATGAGATATAGATTCATTCCAAATTACATCTCTTGGTTTGACCATGTAAGGTTACTAAGATAGAGTTGAATATAAATACTTTAGATGCTAAGATAGAGTTTAGATGCTTTTTTTTTTCTCCAATTAAGTAGGAAATGAAGTTTGTTCTCAAAAGAAAAAAAAAAAAAGAGGTAAAACTAGAAGGAGAACCAGATGTCAGATAAACTTTATACTTCTAAAAATTAAAAGGGAGTCATACCTCAGCATTCTTTAGCTCCAAGGTCCCATCAACAACTTCTATAAGCAATTCATGATTCTGTTCTGATGGTTCCACAGAAAGTTCTACTTTTTGCAGGCATATCATATTATCCATGTTTGGGATGTATGTTGTCAAGGACAATCTTACGGAGTTCCCTTCGAATTCAAGTACTTTGAGACCTGATAATGCATCCTCAATCTTTTCTACAACCTCAAATCTGAAAAGAGAAATAAAATCAAGGAGACAATTTAGAGGAAAAGAAAGATCATAAAAATTCTAAAGTATTTTGACTTTAAAAAGTTACATTTTAACTTGATAGTCAAGATCCTGCAACGACTTCAAAGTGCTTTTGCTCTTCTCAATCTGATGACTTAGTTCCAGAATCTTCAACACAGGGAAACATTTTTGAATTATTGTCTATATCTAAAAGATACCAAAATGACTGGAAAAATCCACCAACAAAAAGTTCAAAACGATTAGAAATCTTGGTGCTAACAACAACTGCCTAGCTCCAGCTGCAAATGGGATCAACAACAGTCACAGTTGCTAAGAGAATATGATGATATAATCAACAAATTAATGTAGACATTCCTATCTTTATCCTGCATATTATGGGGGAAAAACAAATCATGAAACTCTGTCTACCTTAATTCCAAAACAGTAATATAAACTTGACACAAAGGTATAGCTAGATATGGATATAGAGATCACGGACCTCAATATTAGAGCCATCGCATGCCTTTAACCTATTGGCTTGATCCTTGCCATTTGTAGAGTAATCAACCTGCAAGTCCCCATCTCTTCTCTGGATGCCCTAAAAGACATGACAAAAAAAGACTATTTTTCTTTTCAAATTTGCAAAGCGACAACAGAAAGGCACTTGGCTACTGTTGAATTGTCTAAACTTAGCCATAAAGATTAATGAAAAAGCTGTTAATGTACTATCTAGTCAGAATCACTACCCCTTTCAAACTGATTAGTGACACTACAGAAAGGAAAATCTACATCTAAACCACTAAATACTGCTAGTCTAACTCAACTTCAATGATTGTTGAATTATAACTGAAAAGGAAATAGCATACCTACATATATAAACATGGAGGAACCACATTTGCTTCAGCCAACAAGTAAGAACGTTATCATACTTTTGGAATACTAATATAGTTGGTAGAATTGGGCTAGCCACCCATAGACGTTGATAGCAACGTTATAGATAACAGTTGCGGAGAGAAAGAACAATGTAGCAGGTGCTAAAGAAACATCCTTTGCAAAGTTAAGCTACTTTGTGCAAGAAATTAACAAAAGAAGACACCTTTTCTTTTCTTATTAGAAAGATGAACATTTAAACAGACACAAAAAAACAAAATGTGTTTGGTCACATAAAGCAACAAATTGACTACCTTTAGCCTTTTATCTCCTAACTCATATAGCCATACAACTTCTTTGCTAAAGTCAGGGCATTCTGTTACCATTCAGTTAGTTGAAAAGAGATAACTGAAACAAGAATGAGGAGAATAATGTCCTCAACAATTGAACACGCATACCTTATGATATCGAAGACAAAATGGTGACAACTGACTAATACTGCCCCGCCAAAAAACAGCCTAATTGTGTGCTATTCACACCAAAAGAACAAGGAAAAAAAATTTATTCTTATATATGTTAAAGTCTCCAGAAAACAGACACCATCTTGGATAAGTAACCACTCAGTCATGAGTTACTAGTATCAGTTCTAAGCTTTCAACAATAAATAGGATACCCTGTATTACAAAATTAATCCATTCAACAATGAATAGGCACAAGCTTTCGTGCTTGCACAATCCTTTTACAGCATCATTAAAATTTGATCATTTAAAAAAATAAATTTTACTTGCCTGTTTGTCAATAGAATCCAAGAAGCTGCTTAAACCTTCAACCTCAGATTCAAGTTGACAAGAGTCTGCAGTAAATCAAGTAATTAAACAAAAAAATCAGTCTGTCTAAAACATCAAAAACCCCATTTCCAATTTCCCAACCTTCAACATATCTCCTTGAAAGCTCATTGAGTTCATTCTCGATTTTTGCATTCTCACTCTCCACTGACCTTAGCTCATTCTTCAAATGATCCGAAAGTTCCGCTATATTAGTAACACAATAAATCAACTATATCACCAAAAAAGACATCTACAACGTAAAGAAAATACTTTAAAAAAAAAAAAGAAAATGGTCAGAAATTATATACCTAAACCTTCAAGGGATAGTGAGTTAATATCCGAAGTATCAGCCATAATTTGATCCATATTGCTCTAGACATAACATTCAAAACCCAAGTAAAAAAATCAAATTAAACTAAAAAAGAAAATGACAAATTACAAAAAGCTACTATCTTTTTTTCCTTTTTTCCTTTCCCATTTTTACCTGGACTTCGAGAGCTTGATCTTGGAATAACTCCTTCACTTCTGAAGGGCCCATTTCGTAATCTTCATTACAACTCCTCAGGATTTCTCTAAGCTCCAAAATTTGACTGCAACGGAAAATCCATTAAAAAAATTAAATTAATTAATTAAACTGCAAATGCACAATTTAGTGTGTGTTGTGTGTGTAAACTGTAAATCAAAACTACCTTTGAAGGGAATCGAGATCAAGGGTTTCTGATGAAGGAGAGATTGCAGTTGAATCTATTTCCATTTTTTTATCCTCGAAATATTCTGGAAATGTTTGATAATTTCAATTTTCTCAGTTTAGACTGTAGAAAATATCTCCCGCCATGAGAGTGATAAGTCCGAGCGGGTTCCTGGTTAATGATGACTTAGATTTCGGATCTGATAAGGATCCGACCCTTTTTGAATTTTAAACTGGTAAATTGTCAATTAAGCCTTCTACAATTGAATTTCTTTGATTTTGCCTATATATTTGTAATGTTTGTACTTGTAGTCCTTTTGGCTTGTTTAAAGAGGTAATGACCATTTTGACTGAAAAAAAACAACAAAGAGTTTGGTTACCAACCGGCTCTTACTGCTAACTGGTAGAAGTATCAATTGGCTTTTTTGAGTCAGATTTTAACAAATCGAAACTTGACTTACAAATCATATGAATTTTTGAGTTTCAGATTTTCAGCCCTTGAACTCATATCAAAATGTTCAAATTTAACTCATATTATTAAATGAGTTTTGGGCTCAAATCAAACTTGGCCCAAACTCATAATTATATATATTATATATTTTATAATTGAAAATTAATATAAATTTATATATAAATTATTAATATTGTATGTTGTAATATGTATAATCATAAATTATAGATATTAGTATTATACATATTTTACATATATAATTATACTCATATATGAGCCGGACTTTAATCGAACTTGAGCTTAATATGACCAAACTCGGCTCATATTTAATTCAGACCTAATATTTAGACCCAAATTCTGCCCGACCCAATTAAAATTTATGCTCAATGAAGTTTTTTGGGTCGAATTGAATGAATTCAGATTGACTTGACCTCATTAACAGTTCTACAAACTGGCTATTGCTAGGAAGAAAGAGCCACGAGTTAAAGCAGGTTATCATTGATAAAGATCCCCAACCTAAATTTATCTTCCAGATCCTAACTTTTCTTAATTCAAGATTGATGGCAACTCTACCCAAGGGACCTTTCTAATGAAGGCGTGAGAAAGTTCAATTGAAACTCCTATCCAGTTCATAATTATGGCCCAAAAGCGTGAGCCGTCTAACGATCATTGTATGAGGCACAAATTTCAACTGGTTCAGTACTTACATTTACAATATTAGCACACATATTACTTAGTGCAATTGTCATTGAAAGTGCCTAATTGCATGTTATGTTAAGCAAGAACCTCCTACAATGACTTGTATGCTCAATCCAACCAAACCAACAAAATTTTATTCAGCTTCAAAAAAAAAAAATATACACAAGTCCACCTTTTTTCATTTATTTTCCTTTTCTTTCCTCCCTTGGACCAAACCACCTTCTCTAAAATCTACTTCAAAGTAATTTCCTTCAAAATTTATTCTGATGTAGCCATCATCACCAGTGCTGCCATTGTCAGTCTGCTTTTCTTGCCTCAGTTTCATGATGTATTTCATTTCTTGTGATGAAACCTTGGACTGTTCGATTAGATGCTTGTTAATATTTCAGTGCCATGAAAATTGGAGTTAGAGAGATTGAAATGAGCCTTTGATCCACTGTTACACCTTTTTTCTTCTTCTTCTCTCTTCCTGCTGTAGCTTTTCTCACTTACAAGTCCAATTTTCAATCTCTCTCGTCTCCATGTATGGAGTTCAATATAATATCATCATGTAAGAGACGTGTTTAGCAGACTATTGCTTGTAGCAGGAGCCTGGCTCCATGGGAGCTGCTCGACCCCATCCTGTCAATGGCGCAGCTGCAACTCCTCTTTGGTTCAACAAACACCTAAAATGTGCTAATCTTTCGGTAACTTCTGTTGTATCCTTGGCTACTTTGTCGTAAGGGGTCCATAATCTCTCTTCATTAGGAAACAAAACAAAGGGGAATAGAAAGGTTAATGACTCAACAATCAGTAGAGGTAGTACCATATATTTCAAGATAGAAGCTGACAAGGCATAGAAATCATAAATCTAGTATAATATCACTAGCAGCAAAAGATGGCTTGTAAACAAATTGGATGTCTTGATGTGAAGCCATCTTTATCATTATTTCATAACAATGGCTTCGAAAATTATTTGATCAGTGACTTGCATGAATGACTAATAGAAGAAAAGAACTTCGAAAGATTTTCCTGGTTTTCTGTTTGTTGAAGCATCCTTTCCAAAGTCCAAACAAGAAGTGATTAGGTAATCATGGGAGCATAATAGCTCTTGAAATCATAAGTAGGATATGGTTTCTTGACTGCCATGCTTAACAGTCTTTGAAATGCGCACGTATACTTCTTTCGGATCAAGAAGCTTTTAAGATCATATCTTATAAGACAAGCGTGAATGACAGACATCAGATGCCGAATCAGTCTTTTACCCTTGCCCGACAAGGGATCCACCAATTTAGGGATATAGTATAACATCACATATCAGGAGATTCATTTGTAAACAGACAGCATAATGACTCTATCCTTGTACCTTATGCAGTCTTAAACCAAAAACAATATTTAGCAAAATTAAGAATCTCTATTTAGTATGGAATACAGATATGATTTACCTGCTGCTGCTGCTGCTCGTGGCCATATTGTTTGCTCAATATCTGACCCGTCAACACGTTCACCCCACATGCATACTTCACCCCCCATAACTAATGCTTTTTGCTGAGGCTTTCTAATATTAAATAGGGGCTCATTGGCATAGAAAGTTTTCCATGTTGTACCTACATTATCCAAGTACCAGCTTTCCTGGTTACTTACAATGCATTGGAATCCAGCTGCAACTGCTTGCTGAACAACACCACCTCTAAGCCTGTTAGAGAATTCATACATGTCCATTTAGCCCAATGTATGAAATACTAATTCATAAACACAGTATATTTCAATAACAGGTTAGGTTGAAACTTGAACCTAGAACATTTGCATCAAAAATCAAAATGAGGAGATCCTTACCAGTGGTGGATAACAGTTTCTTGGCTCAATTTACTCCCAAAATTGACGAAGGTCTCCTCCCTGTAATTTTACAAGCAAAAGTTTAATTAAATCCAATTGATGCAGAAAAGTTTCCTCAAGTAGATGATTTTACCAGTTCACAATTTTATATCCATAGGATAAAGCTATTTCCTGTGCTTTCAAGACAAAGTACCGATAAGCCTCATCTCCATTAAGACCTTGCTCCTTTAACCTGTTGCATCAGATAGCTCTTTCAGCAGCATAGAAAGAGTCACTGTCAACTTGATTCTAATAAACACAACCAAACAGAGACGTCAATCTAGTAAACAAGACATTGAAGTATGATATAGCAGGGATGAAATCTATCCCCATGCGCATCCCAAGAGTCCTAAGGCTTGCCTGTGCTTTCTGTAATAAAAAAGTTTGCCTGTCTTTTGTGTTTTGTGTAACAAGAGTGAGCTGAAAATGTTTATCTCACAAATTCCCCTAATCCCCTCTTTTAACACTTTTAACTCTTTTATTCTATCAAACTGCACAACTACTGATAAGGTTGATCAATTCTCATCCAAATCTGCCAGATAACTACAACCCTTCTCCTTCTTCAACGAGCTCCCCCAATAACAGTAAAATGACAATCTAATTGTATTAAGTCCTAGCAACTTGTTAAGGCTAAACCATCAGTCCGAAATGTTTTAAAGTCAAGAAATTAGTTGTCCACAACTTGAAGGATTTTATGCACATAATGCCATATCCATAATGCATCTCCACATGTTTCTTCAATTCCTTAAATAGATAAGCTCTCTGCTATTGATTAACTAGGCAGGATGGCAGAAAAAGCATCCTCTTTCTAGACTAATGATATCTGCTGACAACATGATGCTGTGGTATCAAAAGCAGGATACTAGCTAAAGTGAGGAAGCAAAGGGTCTTCTAGTATGGTGTCTTCAAAATCAAGTAATATCAGATCCCAAGAGATGATGACAGGAAGTTTAACATAAGGTGCAAAACCATATTTAGCGTGAAAACTGAGCAAGTTGAGATCATAGGACCTCTTCTCTTTATCCTTTATCTAGGAAAATGGGTTTACTTACAACATAGAGGAATCACCAGTAACTTCTCCTCGGAAGTGATTTAGGCTTTAATAATTACTCCCAAGTTATCTATAGTTAATAAATGAAGCTAGAACTCTTTCCAAAATGTGAAATGTCCAAATCATTCTTAAATGCACAATCATGTTTCTTAAGATAAAAGATCATCCTCTTGCACAGATACAATCCCAAGACACTAAAATCTGTATATCAGATCCAAAAGACACTAGCACAAAACATGTATTAGATCAATACTATAGTGTTTTGTTGAAATTTCCGCAGCCATGTCATGTAGAATAACATGTATCAAGAGAAAGATGTGCTGATATTAACCTCAATTTCCAGTAAAACAATTTTAGATATTGACCATTGCACATTCCCTTTGCCACAATGTCATATCTATGGCATTTGAAACTAGTGAACTTAGCATGGACAGATTATGCTAATACATATTAACATCCATGAATATCTACTGAAAGCTTCAGAGAGTTAAGGAACCCTGAGACAAAATCAATCAAAAGAACAAGTAATGCTTTGAAAGTGTTACCAGTTGCTTACATGAGGAGTTGAAGTCCAGCAACCTGCACTCACATCAGTTGCATATGATTACTGAGCTTTGTTTAAAGAAGAAAGAAATAATTACTTTATAAGCTAGACTAAACAGACATGAACATGCACTGAACTGAATACACAAATAACTATTGTAAATAACCGAGATTTGCATTGAACAAATGACAAGATAGCCAATCTTGGTGCTAGCTGAAAGCAGTTACCTATTGGATCAACAGTCATTTTGTTTATCTTCTCAAAGATACAGAAGACACAAGAGATCCAACTAGTACAGTCTTGAAGACTCGAGTCATTGAATTTTTTGAATTGCAAAAACATCTCAATCAATGAGGCCAGAAGATTAGCATCTCCATACATGACACAAAATAGCTTCATACAATGTAAATATGGACATAACAAAAAATAAAACTCACTTGTGTTCACTTCATCTCCTCCAAGGTGAACAAATCTGTACTTGAAGATCTTACTTATATCTGAAAATTAAAAAGATTTTCATCAGGTCGAGTTTTCTTTTGTCTTGCAGTGAAATAGACATGAAAATTTTTCATAAAGAAGTATCACCTGAGAGAATTCCATCTATAACTTTGAAAGTAAAATCATTGCTAACATCAAGAGGTTGTGTACAATTTATTGATGGCCAAAGTGAAGGATAACCAATACCCCTACAAATTGAAAATAGTTAGTTCTAGAGATTATATTGCAGAAGTCAGAATAAAAAAGGAAAACTGATGACTACTAATTCAGGTCCTAAAATTTCAAAGACAAGTTTCTGAACCCACTAACATACTTTTAAGTGTTTGACAAACAATTTAGAATAAATTACAGATTGATTGGGCTTTTCAACATTATATCTGTATCTCAATTACCAGGATTCTGTTCCTTTTGATCATTGGCATTTGAAAACTGCAAACTTACTAAAAGATTACTTTATGATCACCATTACAACTCTCCTAAGCTTCATATCAAATATAATCACAAGATCCTCCTTATAGAGTTACAAATGTAGCCAAACCAGAAAGGTGGTAACATGACTGTTTCTGAGGTTTTAACTATTCTCATTTCTTCAATAAGTTACTGCAAAGAACATTTACAAAATGCCAAATCTCCAAAGGATGACCAACCTAATTATAAATAAGAACACACAATAAAGTTCAAACTACTAACAGGTAAGCACCTCCCTTCTTTCGTCGGTGGAAAAAATACTCCATAAATGACACATACATTCAAACAGCTTAAAAACATTACTTCTTTAGTGGATGGCTAATGCTAGTGAACACCTCACTAGCGTGTTCACTCCTAAGGGGGTGTGGAGGTGCGGGGTGGTAGGGGAACAGAGTCAATCCTTTTTTTTTCCCTTCTTCTTGTCACAAATTGATTAAGACTTTAATCAACTAGTTAAATGTGAAATTTATCAAGTAATGCAACTATTTTTCTGCAAGGAGATGCAACAAACCTGTTGATCTCAACAAAAAAACATAAAATGATGATGCTTTTACAAGCATAGCTGTTGCACAGCGGGCATTATATACCAGCATGCTATTGGAGAAACAACTGAAAAGAACTAAAATAATTTGAAAATCCTTTTCTGCCATTAAACTCATCCAGTATCATTCATGTTCTTGAAAAGAAGGTTCTTAGCAAAGTAGTAATGCAGAAAGCAGATGAGTTACCAGGATTTAGCATGTCCCGGCGCATCAATCTCAGCCAATACATGGATTCCTCGTCTTTGAGCATATCTGCAACATTACAATTTCAAATCTCAAAAAGATATGTCATGGAAGATATCAAAATGGACCTAACCCGAAAAGATGCATAATAATAACTTGCCTGACAATCTCAGCAGCTTGAGCCATGCTGTATCGTTCTGAACTAGAATAAGCACCATTCCACAACTTTGGATAAGAAGGTATCTCAAGAGGAAAAGATTCTTCATCTACTATGTGCCAATGCAGCACATTCTGCAAACCAACGAAAACTATCATCCAAAGTATAAACAAATTATTGATTCTCAAGGCAACTTTCACATTCTTGGGAGCAGACAGTAAAGATGATGCTAAGTTGCTAACATTACACATGACTACCTTAAAATTTTCTTGTAAACCATTTATTTGAATTTTCTGATTCCTAGGAGCATTAACCTGGCTTCCATACTCACATCAGCATCAATGGTGCGGGTAATGCCAGTACAGAGTCATGCTTGTAAGCAAATCAGATGAAGCGCCACAGGAATACCAATGTCAAAATACTAATGTTAAACAGCTTTTGAGAATCCATCATGGAATGGTGCCAGGTTATCTCAATAGAGGGCAATGTTGGCGTTCTCTTTGTTATATTTGTTGACATTCTCTAAAGCAACCAAAAATTTGGAAGACTTCATTCTATTTGAGTTCAATGTCTCCATTTTATGAAATTTTTGTCCTTATACGGATATGGTGATTTGTATTGCTCGAGTTTCTCAGGAAAAAAGGCTTCACCGTCAATAATTGTGGAGTATTTAATATCCATAAATAAGACTAGAACATTCATAGGCCATAAGAACGGTTCATCAATCTCATGTCAAAAATTTATACGGTTTGAAAGTATCCTTTCCTGTTCACCATTTCCCTACTTCGATCAGTTAAAGCAAACTGGAAATCTTATAGACACTATAAGTGCACTAGCTATCCAGTCTAATGCATAACCCAATAGCAATAAATTTTACTGTTCTTATTGCACATGCAGTGAAGATCTAAACAGCTTATATGAAAGAGTTTTTACAGTGACTCCAGCTATTGGGTTAGTCCTCAACTAAACCCCAAATCCCAATGGTTCGTGTGAATTTCCCTATAATATCCACCACATCTATTTTCGTGAACTCTTGGCCCAGCGTGTAAGTGATGGCAGATTGATTGTCCATATTTACTTGGATACCAAATGAAGACTGGATAGCTAGCCACCAACAGCCTCCAAAATGCTAGATGCTTGACCCTTTAACTCATTATCTATTCTCATTATCTTTGTTTAAGCATCCAATGAGAAGTTCTCCTATGCCACAGTAGCTTCTTGCTCAGATCAATCTGATCATTTATTTGCAAATTGAAATGCAAACTAGGATCTGTCAGTTGCTACACAAAGCAATTTACTCAGTGGACACCTAAGAAGACAGTGCTTATGGTATAAAATTATCTCCTGCTCCAGAAAATTCTAGCAGATACATTTCTGCACAATGTCATTTGTTTCCTAAATGGAAGCAGTAACTCAAAGAACCAGGAAACAAAGGTGCCAAATAGAAACATAAACTATTGTCAGATTAGTGAAGTGCTGCTAAATTCTTACAGCATCCATTAGACTGAAAAGTAGTTTAATGCTTATGTCTGTTGAAAGAGCTCCTTATATCTATGCCTGATTCTTTTTCATGAACCAGGCAAGTGACAGTGTAAATACTTGGAAAAGGGGTGGCGCAACTCAAAAGTTAGGACTTGCTTGTAAGAATATCTGATATATCTCTAGAAAAGTGAGCATTATGCTTACATTTGTTCCTTTGGTGTGTATGACACAATTTTAGTCACAATTCAGTCACTTGACAAGATTTTCTTTTTTTTTTTGTGGCATGTATTCAAGAAACTATTTTCTCTAGACAACGCAAAAGCTTTGGTTCAAACACACAATCAATTGCACTCTATAATCTTTTTCTTTTTCCCCTATAATCTGCTATAGATTCCTTTATGCACATAACTATTAGAGAGACAAATCATTGAACTCAAATTCCTTTATGTAGTCAAACTGAAAATAGCAAAACAGGTTGCATGAAATTATCTGGTGCATACCAATTTGGCAAACGTCATAGAATCGATGACCTTCTTTATCACGGGCACTGGCAGAAAGTGCCGAGATGTATCTACACAAAGTACATGTGACAACAGAATATAAACATTAGCACCTTGAATAGAAAGGGAGTGCTGACAAAGAATATTAGTGCATTTGACTACTAGTCTATGGTGGTTTATGAATGTTGGCCATGGTCATTTCAACCCTTCAGATGTTATGTAAATTTCAATAGTTTCTGGGAACCTCCAAAAAATTTTGGAATGCCTCTGAAAAATATTGACTGCTCAACTCCAGCACTCCTTTACTAAAATAAATAAAGAAACACAGACACAAAAATTCACAATCCTCTGCTTAATTTGTTCTTCCTTATTATGTGGAGGAAATGGCAAACCAAAATAATGTTAAACAATGCAAAATTTTTAAAGGCATCTCACCAATCAAAAGCCCTCGATAAGAAAACCTTGGTTCATCGAAAATGATCCATGGAGCCTGACGAATTTCAATTACTCTGGATGAATGGTTAAAATAGCAAACTTGGCTAAATGTCTGTAGCAGATCGATTGAAAGTAAACATTTACGTCAGATCTTCTTTTCAAAAAAAAAAAATTATATATATCAAAAGACTATTTTAGTATCAAGAGTGAAAATCATACCTCTAGTGCGTGTAATGCCCCATACACTGTTTTTGCCTGCATAGAAGCAAAAACTTCTAATTCATGCATCAAATATAGTATAGAGAAAGTACTGGCATGGTTTAAACTTACTATCCCCCAACATTAACCAAGTATAACCAAAAAAATCCTGCAAAAGCTTTATTGCCTTAAACAACTTGAGGAGATAATGTTTGTAAATTTCTATTGCAAGAACAGTGGACAACTGCACTTTTGGCCATGCTAAAGTAGAGGGTCAAGGGTGTTTCCACTTCATGCTAGCTGACAATGAACTAACTAGAAGTTAAAAGTTCTCATGAAAGGTTCAATGCAAGTGGTTATTTTAGTTTGGCAATTAAGTATTGAACCTAAAACTATTAAGCTTCCTACATCTTGGTTAGCGTTTTAATGACATTGACAGTTTACATGTTGATATTGAAAATTCTCTTTTACTCAAAAATAAGCTTTAGGGCTAAGATAGAGCTCCTGTGTTTATGATCTTTCTCTCCACATGATCAATGTTTTTAACGGTTATTCTAGCTTTAATTTAATCTCCACATCCTTAAGACCCTAGATAGCAAAATCTGCAGCCTCACTACTTAAAACAAGATACAGTTCCTAGCATTTAAAGGTCAGATTTGAAAAGGCGATAGTTATGTAAAGACAGCAGAGTTGTCTAAAGAAAAGCTCATCCTGCTCTTGAAACCAGAATTCATCTTATTGCAATTGCAAGCAACTTACTCAAACTCACCTCAATATATGCATAACTTGGATCTCCCAGCATTGGGACTGATAACTTGTATGACTCATCAACTCCGTGCTGTAACTGCATTCAAAGAACATCCTATGCAGTTTCAAATCACATTAAGGTGAAAACAAACTTGTAAATGAATCGTCATGCTAGAAGCCAAACTGCAAATAGAACATTCTGTTCTGAAAAGAAGCTTCACAATAAAGTTATTCAAAGCCTGTGACAAATAGAAATCTGGTTTCCTTCACTAGTCTGGGGTTTGGACAGTGAAATGTCACCGAATCTACAATCAAATTAAGTGAATAAGTTCAACGAAGTCCTCTGCATAATTGGCTAAAAGAAGCAATTACTCCTTATCGGTGTTCCACTATCTTCATCTTAAAGCTCATATGTCAAGTTAATGGGACAGGAAAGATATTTTACCTCAAGTCTTTTAGTACTAAATTAGCAGGGTGATATTCAGAAAAAGTAAAGTTGTTGGAAACCACACCAAGCTCGTCATTTTGAAGCAAAGATATGTATAGAAACTACACTAATAACTCCAAAATCCCACAGTACTGTGCACAGTTATATCTATTTTTTCTTCGTGGCCCAATTGGATTGCAGCAAAGGAGAGCAGGGAAAGTCGAAACTTAAATGGTTTACCTCATCACTTGGCGAAACAATGACCACATGAATTGCCTTGATTATAAGGGAAGAATTAAAACTGGAAATATTGGTTTGAAAAACATGATCTCCTTTTAGGATTTCAAGGAACCTGAAGAATCCATCCTTGAAAATTCCTGAAGCATCACTATACATTCTCCCATCAATCCTGAGCTCCAAATCATTTCTGAGATAAAGTGTACCTCGTCCATGGCTCACTGAGACAGGCATGGGCCATATCTTCAAGCCCTTATTATAACCAGCAGCAACTGCTATTACTAGAAGATGAACCACTAAACTCCCAAGAAATATCTTCTGAAGTATCCCTTTCCTCCCCATCACAGCATTCTCAATCCTACCAACAAAACAAAAACCAAGAAACAATCAAGAAATTTGACGCAGCTCCAATAATACGTCACATTCAGCAACTTCATCGATGGAAATGGCAATCAGAAGTGGATGGAAATTCAAGAAAGTATCTAAAGTCTTGCAGTTATTACCTCATCAAGAAGAAAAGAAGTTCAAGAAACTGAGGTTGAAGTACTTACTTCTCCAATTATCTTACAGGAACCAATGAAGCACAGAAGAATTTAAAAACAGATTTTCAGAAGATGAGACATCTTGTTAAGTATCCTGCAACTTAACTCATATACAAGTACCAAGAAACTGAACCAACTAATGATGCAAGCTTATCTGTTCGATGTTCACCTAATCATATTTAATAGAGTCAACGGTTCACGCTCTTTCTTTATTCAATCAAATCTTTGTGAATTTGTCAATAAACGACTAACAATTAAAATAAAATAAAAAAAAAAAAGCCTCACGTGTTATTTCCTTTTTCAAAAGGAAGTTGAAGTCATCATATCCAATTGTCCGATAATAATTAGGTTCAATATTTTTTTAAAAAAAAATGTGTAAAAATCAGTTTTACTTTTCCCTTAAAACGTTAAATCTTTTTCTGCAAGAGTGCATGCAATTAAAAGGACTTAATGGGTAGTAATTAATTATGATATTTGACCTATATATTATAGATACGGTTTGATGAGATAAATCACAAGCTACGCAAAGATGCTCCACTACCTAATATTTGCCATGTGAGAAAGATAAAAGTATACACAGAAATGATGGGAAATGACATGATCCTTTTGGTACGCTCTTTTCCCTTTTCGGAAAGATAATGGTTAATTACTCAAAATATTATCAAAAAAAAAAAGAAAAACCAAACATTTACGACTCTAACAATGATGTGGTATTAAACTATTGCTGTCGACCTGTGTCAATTTGACAGTAAAAATAAAATTTTTTTAAAAAAAATTTTTTTGACTGACTACCGAGTTATGTCAGTGCTGCCGGACTGTTTCCAAAGTCAAAAAAAAAAGTAGCGTCTGCCGGGCTGCTGCTTTTTTTTGAAGGAATGTACACTAAGATACACATTTGGTCTGCATTTGTTAGAAGAGAATATCGAGAGTATAAATGGAATTTAAACAATTATATAAATTTTAGATGGCAGAATAACTGATCCTTCCCTGCCATCCAGCTTTTCTCTTGTAAGTAAATTAAGTAGCACTAATTAAATGACAATAACCTTATGATCCTCGTCCTAATAACAGTCTGATGCTTTGTTGCTGAGAAGTATAATTTATATGAGTAGGATGGTACTGATTTAATTAGATTGGGACCTTTTTTTAAAAAAAAATTTTGTAAAAAACTTAACAGGTTGTACTCAACTAGAGGAGGAGATGGTCTAGGAAGCTTGGGACCTGTATTTAACTTTAGAACTTGCAGCATCGGGCAGCTCCTTAAATATGATTTGGCAGGTAATCAATTAACTTGTCAGGCGTTTGACAAACTTCTCCAAGGCAATCAGAAAATAGAACTAATGAAGTTTTGCTTCTTTATTTTGTGGATTAAATGCTTTCTAATTAGCACAACAGCAATTAGAACACTAATTTCCCTGTTTGGATTGCGATTTTTTTCAGAAAAATTACTACGTTTTTCGTGAACATATTTCTCTATCATCTTTTTATCTCATATATATATCAAATCGTTATAGTAATTTTTCTAAAAAAAATCCAAATGGGGGAAATTTCATTTGGACAAATGAATAGATCGGAAAAGTTACATATGGCATACTCGATGCAAAAGAATACGGCACAAATTGCACTCTAGTTGCTGTACGTACCAAGCGCCCGTGAAAAACTTTAGCATATGGGCATCTATAATAATAACTGAGCCATTATCAGCATAACGGTCGCGGAGAGGAAAATTAACGAAAACGTGCATGGTTAATGAGCTATAATCCCAAGTATAGACATCAAGCAATGAAAACCATCGATTTAGCCTCCTCTATTTGGTAGTATAACGTACGATAGGGGGGAAGAAAAACCGAACGAAAAGATGCTAGAAAATCTCACATGATGAAATGCCGCATTCAGGAATTTAGGAACCAAGAAAATAGGAGGCTCCCAATGAAGCCATGAAGAGGGAAGTAGCTTTACGATGAGCTTCTTGTTCCAATTTCCTTGTGCTTGTTCCAGCGTCTGCCGGGCTGACACAACTTTTTGCTTTTGCTAATAGTTTAATACCACACTATTGTTAGAGTTGTAAATGTCTGTTTTTTTTTGTTGCAATATTCTTAGTAATTAGCCCAAGATAACCAATGGGTTGGGGCCATCACTAGGGTAACTAAACAAAGTGCGCCGGATAAAGATTGCAATTATTTTCAGGAAAATGTCATGAACTACAATTGTCAAGGCTCAAAAGAAAATGGAGGAATCAAAGGATATGATGAGTGTACGTGTTAGTATATTGTTAAGACAATCTAAAGTCTTTACTTATCTACCTTTTGTCTATGGGTAATGATTTTAGATTTTGGTTGGTTATAACTTCTTCTTCTTTTTAAACCCTTCATTCATCCCTTGCATTCTTCTTATTCTCAAATTATAACTCCAAAATTTGAATCACGAACCTGACAATGATAATGGCGAGAACTCTAAGAGCCCTTCTCTAACCACAAAATCAATTTCAGTGCTTGATCGATTATACAACCTTATATTTAAAATGAATATATTTTCTTCTTTAGAGTCAAAGTTGGTAAAGAGGCCTTGGTTTAAAGATTAAAGTTGAAAATTGAGAATTTAAAGATCTTTAATTCTAATCCCTCTTTTGTCTCTTTACTTCTTAAATTTCAACCTTCCCCCCGCTAAAAAAAATACCATAAACAAAATAAACATAATAGTATATGTGCATGTTTTTTACTCACTTATCATTCATGCCAGCAGCCACGGATTTAAGGGGGGACTGGTGGGGGCTTAAGCCCCCCCCAAGCCGCCGGAAAACCCCCTACATCTAGTCTACCTTCCAAGCAATGCTGCTCTGCCAATTACACTGATGGCACGGGAGTACGAGGTTTTCACGGTTATTCCTGTCAAGGAAACATCAAATGGTTCTCGATTCGCTCCTATAGGCCTCATCAGGATGTTCAATTCAGGTGGAGCGGTCAAAGAAGTGGGTTATGGAAAGAACATATGCGTCAAAGCACGGGGATGTGGTACTTTTGGAGCCTATTCATCAGTCAGACCCAAAAGAATCACAGTTGACACACACAGAGGAAGTCCAGTTTCATTTTGAAGAAGCCTCTAGATTGGTAACCCTCGATCTCCCAGTCCCAGTCCCAGAGAGAGCGCTGTACCTCTGGACCATCAACATTGAACTCTAAACAATTAGTTACAGCATTGAAGGCCGCCGGGCCCCATTAATTTAGAATGGAGCCCCAGGCCAGCTTTGCTCTCTGTAAACCTCCTTCAAAAATCAGCGGATGGTTTTGGATTGGATAGGCTCTATATGTTGCGCAAACCCGTCAGAAGAATCTTTTGCTGCACACTCCTAGATTTTTAACCATTTCGCCTTATGAACGAGACAAAAAAGATATCCTTCTCTGTTAGACTGTTATGATCTTCTAACGCAAAAACTTATGTCACGGGGCACGACCCGGATCTTAGCAGAAGCAGCAGGAATCAATTTGGGCATGATGGGACTTAGCTTCGTAGCAACTTTTGACTTTGCTTCTTGTAGCTTTTCCATTGGGTTTGTGCAATATACATATTATTATTGATCCACCAGCTTCACTTGCAGGCCCAAATATTTTCTAGTTGAATTCTTGGACTTGATGGTAACGTGGTAAAAATAAAATCTGAAGGAACAAATGAACAAGCAATTGTTTGTGGCGACGGTTGAATGAGTAGTACTTTTCTTGATCCATTGTAATACAACACGCAAGTTGAATGACTGTCTGGTTGTATACATCGAGAAGGATATTTTTGCAACAATTGAAAATGAGCAAATATTACAACGTTTTCAACGGATGAATACTCGCAGAATGCAATTGCCTCCTCTTCGTTATTCGAGTGCAACAACTACCAATACTTCAAGTGTTAATCAATAACAAATTTTTGGGTATGTATAATTATATGTTTTTATTATTTTTATAATTATTGATTCTAAATTTTACTTATTAAATATATTTATTTCGTCACAAAAAAATTTTTTTAATACACTTCAGCCCCCCCAAAAATAAATTTCTGGCTCCGTCCCTGCATGCCAGTTCTATTGTTTGAATGTAGCAACTTTAAAAATTGTAGTATCGTTTTTCATTTGCGCATACTTAGAATGGTAAATATAAATGAGTTGAGCTCAATTGAACTATTCAAGAGCTTATTTGGTTATGTTTGAACTCCAGTTCACATAAACAGAGCTTGAGTGGAATTTTAGTAGCTCGAATATAACAATGAGCTCAAGTTTGAGTCTTACATGCAAGACTCAAAAGCTCATCGAGATTAATCAAACTCAATCGAGTTTCAATATATATGTATATATGTATTAGTGTGAGACTTCATCCTTGTCTAAACTTATATCATATATTGATTTATATCACTTAAAACTTAATTGGGCTTGTTTGAGCTTTGATTAAGTTAGATCTGATGTAACTCAAACTCAAGTTCGAGTGAAATAAATTGAATTGGCCAAAAAAAAGATAAATTAAATTAACCTTGACTAAAGTAAATTAACTCAAATTCAAGATCGACTTGACTTGCTTGTAGTTCCACTTAATGCCTTATCCAGTCCCATATTTCCTTACCCATTTGGCATCTTTAAACTCAAACCCCTTTTGACAAGTGATAATGCCACAGGCCCACAGCCCATATTTTACTTTCACAGTCATTCGTCATAAAATCTATATCTATGCAAGAATTGTAATTCTCATTGAATGACTTATTCGGTCCCATCCTACCTGACCCATTTGGCATCTCTAAACTCAAACCCCTCACGACTAGGGATGTAATTGAGCTGAATTTCTTGCGAGTAGTTAGGTCAAAAGTTTGACTAACACTCAGTTTTTATCGAGTACAAGTCGAGTACGAGTAGCTTGATAATTATTCAAGTCAAATTAGAGTATTATTTTTTCAAGTTTGGTGGCTTATCGAGCCTTATTGAGCAGAAAGTAATTAATTAAAAATTACATATTTAGTTATTACAATTTTACCCCTTTAGGCTTGAGAGTCGTATAATTTACCAGAATTACTCTTTTAGTCGAGTCAAGTACTCGAACTTGATCATACTCACAAGAAAATCGAGCATAATCAGGTCGATCGCAAGTTTTGCAATCATTTTTCGAATTTGAGTTCAAACTCCATTTCTGTTGCTTGCTTGAGCTCGAGCAATACCTCTCAATTGTCGAGTCGAGCTCGAACTCAAGTATAGCAACACTAACTTTCGACTCGATTCAATTACGTCTCCACTCATGACAAGTGATAAATGCCACAAACCTACGGCCCATATTTTACTTTTCAAAGTCATTCTTGGTCATAAAATCTATATTTATACAACAATAAAGGAAGAGAGATGGCAGTTGGGGCAAATAGTTTGCGTCCTTTTTTGAACTTTCAATTTTGTTTTTAAAAAATTAAATCTTATCTTAACCACCTAATCACATTTGCTAATATAATATCCTATAACTCCTTTACTTAAATAAAAATTGTAATTACCAAATTAACTATAACTTTGTTAAAGAAAAATATTACTAATAAATTACAAATTTTTTCATGACCAACTCATATAAATTTTTAATTTTGTAAAAATAAAATTAATATAGTCATAAAAATTAATAATTATTTCCAAATTTACTAAACCCTTCTCTTGTCAAAATTCAAACCGATTACATCATCAAATTTCAAGGGACCCACCACAGTCCTCACCAATCACCATCGTCGACTCAATCGGCCTCCTCTTCGGCGATTCTTTATTTTCCGATGCCTTTTCCTCCGGATTAGTTTGTTCTATTTATTGAACATAGATAATCCGAAGCAAGCGGCTAACTTGTGTTGGCAAACTTGGATGTTTTTGACAGTAAGTCCTTTCCCTTCTGATTTTCTTTGCCCATTGTTCTACTTTTATGTTCAAATCCACTGCAATTTGTAAACCAAAATAAAAAATCAGCACATTCAGTTGTTATCAGTATGGAGGTTTCATTTCGATGAGTGAATAGATAAAAGGATTGAGTACAAAGGAATAATCTTTGCTGCTGCAAAACATGCAGAAAAATCAAAAAAAGTTTTGGGTATGAATTGTTTTTCTTTATGTCGATTGGGGGTGGGGAAGGGGTTCGGGAAGCTAATTTGTACCCAGCAGAATTTGAACCCTGTTTTAACATTCAGGGCTTCTTTTTTTTTTTTTTTTTTTTAAGAGGTAGGGAGCTAATTTTACCGTATAAACATGTAAAATTTAAATCCTTTATGCAATCCTTTGTCACAATATTTGACTAGTGAGGAGTATTTTTTGTAATGCAGTAACAGGTGGCTGCGGAAGTAAGATTTATGCTGTGGCATTATCACTTGTCGAAAAACATTGCAGCAAAAATACACCCAATCCCCAGAAGGCTAAAACCCCGTCTTTCATTTCCCTTTTCATCTAGTGGTCTCTATCCCCTTTGACTGATAAGTATTTTGATTTCTTTAAGGTAAGCCCTTTCTCCTTGTTTCTCGTTTGCTTTCCAATAAACTTTCTTGAAATATTGTTCAGAAACTCTGTTAATGTGAGTTAAGGTATCTATTTACAGTGTCATTGTGCAACAGTCCTGTTATTTTGATAAAGTTATTGGGGAAATTGTTGTTATTCTTGGTATTTAGAAACTTTAGTGTCATACATTTGGGTCTTCATCAATTGCAAAATGGGCTTCTGATGTCTTCAATATTGTCCAGGAATTAAGTGGTGGTCAGATATATTTATGTAGTACATGTGCTTGATTCTTGATTTTGATGGGTTGGATGAGTGAAATGCTTTTCTTTGTTACTTTGCTATGTGGATTGTCAACCCATTAAGAATTTATCGATGAAAAGTTCACTTATTCAAAAAAAAAATTATTTTGATTTTCTGATTCTGAAAATATGAAAAGTTCGCTTATTTTAGTCCTTGCTTGCGCTTATTTTAGTCCTTGCATGCACCATGGGGGAGCAAATTATGTAACAAAATCCCTCGTTGCCCAGTTGCATTCTGAAGTCTTTTGGTGGTTCAGTGGTTGATGTACCTTTGGAACTTTTAGGTTGAATATGTGGTTTTTAAGTTGAGCTGATAAATCGAGCATCCATTGCTCAGTGGTTTATGTACCTTTAGAAAGAGACTGATGTTGCTTTCAGGCAGTTTGTGGTTTTTAAATTGAGAAACTTATGAGAAACCATTTGAAAATTTAGCTGATTAGCTTGGTTAGTTTGAAACCATTGAGAAACTTATCTCCATCTTTCATTTCAAGTCTATATCTAAGGTTATAGGAGTGTGGTCTCTCTTTTTCAGAATTGTTAGTTCCTTATTGTCTATACTTCACATTGGTTGATCGAGTACCTGATAAAGGTTGAGGAAGGGAAGGGGGAATGGAGGACAACCAGGTGTTTCCATTTTGAAATTGGTTTGAGGTTTGATTTCTTCCATAACTGCTACTCTTTTGATGTGTATTTTGACAGGCAGATAAATTGCATGTAAGGGAAGGAAATATTTTACTTGTTAAATGAAACAGTCAATCTAAAGCGATGGAAATGGTTGAAAGATGGTTTCCCCATACTTAGTAGCTCAGCAGAGGATTAAAGGAGAGTGACAATAGCCTCTGTATCACTTATTAATCCACGTCGGATTGAGAGAATGGCAGCCTCACTGAGATGGGTGCTGCAGCTACACAAGGACGTGCCAAAAGCAGCAAAGCTCTACTCAGAGGGATTGGGCTTCACCGTCAACGTGTGCACTCTCCGTTGGGCTGAACTTGAACTCCAACCAGGCCCTCTCAAGCTTGCACTTTTGCAGTCTCCCACTTCCAGGTTTCTGTCTTTTTACTCTATGGTCTCTTCCTCATTTTTCTTGTTTTTATGGTTTAATTTTTCCCAGCTGGTAGAAAACAGGCGAATCATTACTTACTCATGCCTTTTAAATGAAGTCCCTACATTGACTACATTTTTTTAATTTTTATTACTTTAAAACATTGCTTTTATATCTGTAAATCCTTTTCTATTTTCCTCTGAAGGGAATGGGTTCTTAATGCCATCCTGAAGTAGGAGTTAGTGAATGCAATTCTGATGAGGAAAACTCTGCAAGTTCTGTTCATGTTATGAAGCTTCATGTAAACTTTAATTGAATATCAAACAGAGAACAAGTTCTCCTGTCACTTGCACCTTGCCTCAGATGTAGGTAGAACCTTGAGGGTATGCATGATTGAATAATGATTATTCTGCTGTCTAACGTAGAAAGTCAGTCATATCCAATAGTGCAAGAGTTTAACAATAGTATGCAGTATATCTTTGAAAAAAGCTTACAGTTTTGCTGATAGATGGTTATGCAGAATCTCTTTCATCTGAGCTTCTGAGATAAAGTATGTTAACAGCGAGGAAGATTACACATCAAGCTTTTGGTTTGAAAGAGGTTATGAGAACACCTTGTGATTAATGATTTTCTTGTGTAACACTTCTGTGGGTCAATCCAAACGAGTTTCTAAAAATATTTATGTATACATGTAATAGACTTAATATCATGATAGAAGAGATAGTCCTTAAGATACAGTCAGATGTGCCCCTTCCATCTTCACCAGTAGTTGAAGCAAGATGCGAATCTAGTATAGCAGTTATTTAGTTGAGATTTTACTCACTGGAGCATTTAGCAATAAAGAATAGCTGTTACTTCAGTCATGAACTTTGGTGTATGAACAGGAGATTAGCACCAGTATAAACTTTTACAATGATAAAACTGTATCCTCCTGTATATTGTAGTAGTTAGGCTGGATTACATCACTTTTGGTGGTGGGCCTTTGTTTGCTTTCTACTTCACTGGAGGAGGAAGCCTTGGATGTTTTGAAGGTTGCTTTAACCTACTATTTTGATATTTTCAAAGATTAGAACTATGATCTTGTTTTGGTTTTGTTTTCATATAATGGGAGTGTTTCCATCCTGGTATATACACATTAGACCTTTTGACTTTTCCCCTTAAATTGTTTTTCCTGTTCATGATTTTCCACTGCCTTTGAAGTTCAGTGGCAGCTGACCCTAGTTTTACAGTTTGCAGAAGGGGTACTCATCACTACTATCCTTCACAGTAACCGACATTAGTAGTACAGTGACAAAACTAATGGCTTTGGGTGCGGAGTTAGATGGTCCAATCAAATATGAGATTCATGGAAAGGTGAACCAACTTCTGAGTTGCCGCATATGTATTCCCTTGGTTGAAAATTGTTTTTCTTAATGTTTAAGGTTTATATTCTATGTGTTTCAGTGTCACGACTACATTATCAGTAGTTTGTCTTTTGATGTTTATGGCAGGTTGCTGCTATGAGGTGTTTGGACGGCCACATGTTAGGCCTTTACGAACCAGCCTGACGGCATCCAAGGACCGCTTGCCTGCGTCAAATCATGCTTAACGATTTTCTTATATTGCCATGTTGCAAAAAAATTGCTGCTCAGTGAAAAATACCAATTTTTCATTGGCGTAGGATTTATGGATGGTAATCTGCTTTCTGAAAGCTACCACAGAAGTGAGATAGTTGAAGGGCATTTTGCACAGCTGATTTTTGGTGCATTTGACATGTTTGTGGTAAGTGTCTCAATGAAAAATGGCATGAGATTGCACAGAGAATTTGCCAGCTCTTCAACTTGACTGGAATTTATCAGAGGGATTTGCTTATGTGGTTGTTTAGATGATGATACATCTAGTCTTTAACTTTGATTTTAATCTGCAAGCTGAAGACTTGTATCACTACACTCATGTCCCCTAGTACCAGCTGGTAGGAATCTAACATCATACATGATGGTAGCTAAGAGAATATAAATGCCATTTGAAAATTGTTATTTGCTAAAAATGAGTTCTTTTTTGTTTTTCGGTTGGTGGGAAGCCTAAGCCATTTTTGGATTGCAAACTTAATCTCATAATTCTCATTGCACATTATTTAGGCAATTTTTTTTTTTTCATTTTTTTCTTAAAAATTGCTGGTTCAAGTTTTGCAAGAATCTATCAAAGATAAAGAATCAATATTTAAATTTTTAGTTATACAATTTCTTACTCAACGTGAACTGATGTTTTTGTAATAATAGTTTGTGTTTGCGATCATGTCTTTCAACTCCACATCTTGGTTTTATGTTTGTCTCAATAATTTTCTTAGAACTGTAAATAAATGTATGAAGCGGATTTGACTATGTACTCTTGTGGAACCTTTTTTCTGTGCTTCAAGTCAAAAAAGTGGGACGCTAGAGACCCCCCAATCCATTTCATAGAGAAGACAGGTCATGCGTGATGGGATACATAAGAAAACCAAGAAGAAAAACCCAGAAGGATCAAATTATTAACTTCTAAGGGAAAGACAATGTAGTGGAATGAAAATAGGAAGAAAAGTTGATGGAGGTTTATTATAGGGTTATTTACACTTGACTCCCCTAGTTCTTGAGTGTAATTACGGTTCCCCGCGGCATTCTTGAGGAATGTGTGCACATGTAAATAATTTCTATATTGAAGATAAAATTTTATTAAATACTTTAAACATTAGAAGTATTTGGCCGACAGAAACTTAAATGAAAAAAAAAAACAGATATTTCAGAATTCAAAGTAATTTTCCACATTAAAATGTTACATGAAATGAAACTATTTTCTTTTGATTTTAAAATATTGCCACATCTATCATACACATTACATGAAATATTACAATTAACGTGGAAAATGATCTTATAAATGATTAGAGGTGTCAATCGAGTTTTTTAAGTTGAGCTTTAACAAACTCAAGCTCGACTTACAAGTTATATGAATTTTCGAATTTCAAACTTTCGAGCTTTAGACTCATATTTAAAAGTCTCAAGTTCAACTCGCACTATTATATGAGATTTGGGCTCAAATCGGGCTTGACCCAAACTCATAATTAAATATATAATTAAATATAATATATATTTCATAATTATGAATTAATACAAATTTACATATAAATTATTAATATTTTATGTTGTAATATGCACTAGTATTCAAGGCACACACTAATGTATGTTCAACTACTAGAAAAATATTTGTAAAATATTTTGAGTATATTTATTGAAAACATTTTCAAGAAAATTAGTTTTATATTTTGAAAATACATATGTGAAAAATTCACCAAAATAAAAGTTATAAAAAGTAGTTATTTGGTAGTATAACCATAATTGGTAGTTGCTAATTAAAATTAATATTTACTAAATAAGTTGAAAAATAGAATATAAAAAAATACATATAACTTGATAAACACATTATATTAGTAGTGGGTAGTTATCAAAAATAGATAAGATCTTTGTTTATACCAAAAATTCCTTCACCATCAAGGTTAATTTAGAAAGAGATAGATTTTTATTTATCCCAAACTCCCTCCTCTCCCTTTATATATAGTACGGATAATTATAAATTATAAATATTATATTATATATTTTACAAATATAATTATATTCATATATGGACCAGACTTTAATCGGACCTAAGTGTAGTATGGCGTAATCTCAACTCACATTTAGTTTGGGCCTAATATTCAGGCCCAAATTCTGTCCGACCCAATTAAAACTTAGACTCATTGAGATTTTTTTAGGCCAAATTGGCCGAACTCAAATTGGCCCGACCCCATTGATAGCCGTATAAATGATTCCTTAATGTAGATTTTAATAAAGAATATATTAATTGTAAAAAGCCAAAATATATGCAATTCAAGTGAATGCATAGTAAACGCAAAGATTACGGTTGCAAGTAATTAAATGTATTCATGGGAAAACTTCAAGAAATACTTTTACTTTTGCAAATGGTGAGATTTCCAGTAATATTTTTATACCTTATCCCTTTTTACAGTATGTCCATGTTTATACTCTACCCTTAATATATCAAATGGCAATATGTGGGCTTTTCACTACATTTAAGTGGTGTTTTTGTCCATGTCCACCATAACTTTGTGCCTAAAGAATAAATTTTCCTTAAGAGTAATATTTAGCTTTTGGAGATACTATTTCTAATTGTGTATAGTTCTAAAGATTAGCACAGTAAAATGTGTTACAAGACCCAAACTTCAGGGAGTTAAACTGCAATTTACTATTTGTGGGTGGGATAGGTATGGGGATGGGCGGGAGGATAAAAATTAAAAAATTATTCTTTATAAAAAATCAACAGCTAGTTTTACAATGACATGTTAATATTTTTTTTTCTGTTCCTTTGATTTAATTATAATGGTTAATTACACTTTGCTCCCTAAACTTGGGATAGAGTAATACTTTGCCGCTAACTCAAAAATACGTTCATATATATGTATATATATTGCAATGGACTTAAGATATATACACTTTGCGCATGTTATTATGTAATGACTGAGAATAAAATTATTTTTTATATCCCCAAAACTACCCCCAAGCTAATTGATTTACATGTGGAATACAAGCTAAATATTGAGTGATAGTCATTTTATGATTTACTAATGATGCACTACAGATTTGTTGAAATCCAAAATTATGTGTTACAACAACCAAAAAGGTCCAAACTTCAGTCACCATACATTATTAACTCAAGCAATTGAAAAAAACTTATAGTCAAAATAACGGAAATGATCATTTGTAACGAGACTCATGAAAATGTTGAAATTACCCTTGTTTAAAAACCAAAATGGTTGAAGTGACCAAAATATATAAACATAATATACATGACACACTAACCCCATATGATTTTATGTTTTATTATATAATCCCATTATAGTTTTCAAAATAAATACATAACTTTCATGGTTAATAAATAATTTTCAACTTTATATAAGGGCATTTTTGACATTTTAGTTGATTCCATTATGGAATATAAATTCTGTCATTTTAACATTTTAATCCAAACCATAAGAGGGTTATGTATAATTTTTGTTGTTCCTTTAGAACTTGATATGCCCGATCAACTTGCAAAACAAAAGTCAAAGAAAGAGAAGTAAAGTAATTTTGGTTAGGTGAGGCGCGGACTAGGTCGCTCTCTTAAGACGATTCGCGCCCCTCTCGGGATTATGTCCGGTGTAGAAGATTGATGGCACGTCGCCTCTGGGATACAACAGCCCAGCCTATGCTGTTGCTTCTACTAAATCTACACAATTTAGAGAAGCTAAAACTCTTCTCAACACCTAACTAATGCCCAATAGAAGTGAGAGGAAGATAGTTTTTTGAGATGACAAGAAAAGTGTCTAAAACTTGGTTGATAGTGGCCTCTATTTATAGGTTAGAATTTTAGGAGTATTAGAATACCACCATTAAATGGAATAAATGTGTCATATTTTTCAGTTACAAAATTTGAAAAGGTCTAAGTCATTGTATAATAGTCAAAATTTAATAAATCAATTCTTAAAGCCTAATCATCACATAGGCTCCAAAAACAAGACATAAATCTCATAAGTTACATTTTTAATGGTGATCTTGTAACTGAAAATTCATTTCAAAATTTGTAACTCATTGTATTTGAATTCAAAATAAACATGTGAATGAATTCAAAATAATAATGATCTTTTTTATTAAAATATCCAACAATCCCCCACTTATTTTAATAAAAATAGGTTGGGCATATAGTGAGAACATCATGCCTAATGAAAGTGGCAATGCCTTTAAACTTCCACTTAGTGTTTTAGTTTTCCCGTATTAGAATCATAGTAGACTTAGCCTTTAAACTATGATTACTTGAGGATACGTAGAAAACTTAACACGCATGACATTCTAGGTGTTCTTAACCGAGCTTTTCAAGCCAGTACATTATAGCCATGTACTTTACCCCGGTGTTCATGAGTGCTTTAGAGAATTAGCCCAAATTCTCATAAGGGCGGCCAAACCCTTACACTCATATAGGTGAGTCAATCAAGGATGTTTCTGTGACTAACATATCCCACCCATAAGGGCTATAGAACTCATTAAGAGATTAGTTCTCAACCTCTCATATACATCATAGAATTACATGCATAGCATCATATGATTGGACTAAAAATTTGCATGTATCACAACAAGCGACTCTATGATTCGTTTGTCTCCAACCTAGTTCCTGGGATCTCCAGTCCCTAGGTGGTTGTATCCTCATAGGTAGCTTTTACATTTTTGGGTTTTAATCCAATCTCTCTTGATGCTTTCCAGATCTTTTCTCTAGCCAGAGCTTTTGTAAGTTGATCGGCAAGATTTTCGCCCGATCTCACAAAATCAATGGTTAATGAACCATTATTTAAATATGATCTCACAGTACTGTGTTTTCTCCTTATAGATCTGGATTTTCCGTTATAATATTTATTGTGAACTCTGCCAATAGCAGCAGTACTATCACAATGTATTAAAACAGGAGGTATCGGCTTATTCCACATTGGAATTTCAGATAGTAAATCACGTAACCAACCTGCTTCTTCACATGCAGAAGCAAGAGCAATTAACTCTGCTTCCATGATGGACTTTGCGATTATATGTTGTTTTTTGGATCGCCAACAAGTGGCTCCACCTCCCAATGTAAATAAATAATCAGTATTGGACAAAGAATCATTAGATTGTGAACTCCAATCTGCATCACTAAAACCTTCAAGTACAGCAGGATATTTTTTATAAAATAGACCATAATCTAAAATTCTCTTAAGATATCTCATGATTCTATGAATTGCATTCCAATGTGTAAAGTTGGGTTTACTAGTAAACTTACTAAGTACACCAACCGCATATACAATATCAGGTCTAGTGCAATCAGTTGCATATCTCAAACTACCAATTATACTAGCATACTCTTTTTGATCTATTACATCAGAATCATTTTTAGTAGGAAATAAACACATATGAGAATCAAAGGGTGTACAAACTGGTTTACAATCAAAATAATTATATTTCTTTAATATTTTTTCA